GTTTTCATTGGGAGTGATCAGTATGGACAGGAGTAGAAATGAATATATCAGTGACACATCTCAGGTCAAACACTTTGGAGATAACGTTAGAGGGGTATGGTTGAGATCTTTTGGACAGGGAAGAGAGAGTAGATACACTGGATGGATACCGAATATGGAGCTGCCAGGCAGGAGCAAAGGAGGAAGATCATGGAGATAGATCATGAATATAGCAAAGGAGGACAAACAGATGGGATGACATTAGTGATAGGATGAGATGGAGTTAAACGATCCGCTGATGTGAGCCCTGACTGGAAAGAAGTAGTAATTTCTAATGAAAAGCTTGTTAGCGTACTCAGTCTTGCGGAACTCACCAGATGGCCGTAGATGACAGGACACAAAGAGCTGCAAAAACAAGTGGACGCAGTTAGTTAAAATATGTTGATGTGCAGTAGTAGCATGCCATCATCATCAAAAAGTACATTTTTGCATGACTGAAGAATTTTATATTTCTAAATCCTGACAAAAATAAAATAAATAATCAAGCTAACTTCATAGATAACTTGAGATTAAATCGTTAAAATCGACTCATCACCATACCATTCAAACTCCATTGTTTGGACAAAACTTTAATAAATAGATGCTGTGATAACTCGTAGAACAATACTACATGAAACTAGGTAGCTGCATTAAATGCAGTAAGTAATCATCTTACTGCACTATAAGTCGCAGCAAGTCAGGCTGTGACTGGATCTCCTGAATAGCATACAGTTCCTTCAGACTGAACTCTTCCCCACCACAGCGATCTTCAACTGCCCCGCTTGAACCTTGACCTCCCATCTTGGACTGCTTGCCTAAATATTTAGAAAAAGTTCCAGTTCATTAAATACTTAAGACTAAAGCCTATTAATATAAATGTGAAGGTCTCAAAGAGAATACCTTTTGTATTGCTGACAGAAGTAGCTTCAATGTAGAGGAGGAACATACACTGATCCTTATTTCCTCTAGAACTGCCTGGACCTAAAAAGCACAGTCAAACTATGTTTGATGTCTAAGTAGCAGGGCACTTCTTCCAGCCAACTCCAACTTCAAAGGCTTAGAGTTTTTGTTGAATAAATGCTTGATTTAGTTGAGACATTTTTTATAATTCACTACATACAGAATTAGAGACTGCACCGGTATTTCTTTGGCTTAACTTTTCACAATGATCAGAATGTGTGTTTTTGTACCATCATTGCTAACTCTCACTATCCCTGTCACAGTAACAGTGTCTCCAGGCACACAGCTGTCACAGAGGTCAGAGGTCAGGTGACACTCCACTGTCCGTGGGATTCGTCCAGTCTCCCTCTGCTCTCCACTTATCAACTCCTGCACCCTGAAGAGGCACAAAAGAATTCAAATTCAATTGATCAGGGATTCATGACAAAGGTTATTTACACGAGATGTGACCTTTAAAGACAATACTTCGTATCTGTGAACTGCTGATAAAGCACAATGTCCAGAGTGACACATAAAAACTACACACATACGCACAGTAAATGGTACACACTAAATAATACAAGCAAAAAAAACAAAAGGTAAAGTCCCTTAATATAAATGAATGATAACTTACATACAAAGATTCTTCATGAATCAACTTAAAATTAAATGTAAGTGACATGGGGTTAGGGTGATTATAATATAGACCGGCAACAGAGTAGTTTACAGACATGCTGTATATAAATCAAAAATACATGCAACAGAAAGGCTTTTCTTTGGAGGAGCTTTCATGCATTTTTACAATTACATTTAGATAGCAGTACATGGCATCCTTTCCCGCTCTCAAATAACAACTGCAACAACCATTTTTGTTAGCTATGTCTTACTGTAGTTTTCCACTGTACATGATATGTACGGCGGCACGGTGGTTAGCACTGTTGCCGCACAGCAAGAAGGTCCTGAGTTCAATTCCAACATCA